ACATCCGCCCCGCTGGAATGGCGAACGTGAATGGCACCGCCTCGGCCACATCCTGGTCCCCCTAAACACTCGAAGCAGTGGGGATCGGCGCCCGCTATTAAGCCAGGCCAGGAAGGACAGGCCCGGGTGTCCAGACATGGCGACTCCATGAGTCCTCTTCTTTCAAATGTTTTACTTTTCTCTGTCAGGTGTTGTCCTGCTCGCTGAAGAGAAAAGGATGACAGTCGTTATATGCGTTATATACTGTGTGCCTGCGCGCGCATTCAGGTAGGCTCGCCCTGATTGGCCGGCTACGTTTATACACTTCAGTGTGTGAATGCTCGCGTGTCATTGATGAGAGTAGTACCCATAGAGCCCAGTAGAGGGCGGAGCCTGTGTGAAATATAACTTCGGCATTTTATAATTTTCTGCCATTTTTTTAAGACATTGATTGGAAAATAATTGGTAGAGTAAGATGTATCCCTTTTAGTGTTCTGCTGAACTGTCTGTAAAGCACAATTTGAGGAACTACATTTATTTAAAAACGTGTTGAACTCAACTTAACCGATTGGAGCTATCTCTCCCCCTCGGTTTAGGTATGTTATTTGAAATAAATCCACTAGATGTAGCTGTGTCTAAATATGAGTTTTTGTCAATTGGTTAAAGGGATTGATGTTATTTGATAATTAAAGGAATGCTTGATTGCAGCTATAATACATTTAAGTCACGGTAAAAATGATTTATATAAAATGACCCAAAAATGATGATGACGATTTTTTTACTTCAGCAAAATCTGCTCTCATTTCAAAATAAATATTATCATATTTTAGGTTTTGACCCTTGTAAATATTTAATTTCTTTTATCTCAGTTTTGTTATGGAAATGGGTTTTTCAATGGCTGATGGCAATATTCAGAGAGGAATGTTGTTTATTTTCATATTATTAATAATACTAAATTTCACAAAATTGCTGCAGTTAAATTAACATTCATTTAGGAGGATATCGTCTCTGACTGCTTCAATAGCTCTTCACTTAATTTGCATTAATGCACTTTTTTAATGTATCAAATGAATAGTTTTCTGCACATCATCAAAAAAGATTGTAAACAATGAACAACCTATTTAGGCAAACTAAATATTTTAAGTGTTCTTAGCAACTGCATTTATCAGCTGATGGCAATTTCTCCTTGTATCTGAGAGACAAGAAAATAGTGTAGACTAGCATAAATAAAAGAAACAGTGTTATGTATTGTCCTTCCTTGGGGTTGGCTCAGTGAAATACTAATAAATATATATAAAGTTTCAGGACAGGATTTACTGCAGTGGCTTTCTATAACTATATTCCCTATGGCTTTGAAAGCAGTCTTCACAAAGGGATAACTCAAGTATGGTCCATAAAAAGTAGTTTATAAGAAAACATGAAAAGTTTTGGTCTCATCCCCAGGAGGCCGAGGCAGCGCTGCACGTCTCCAGCGTCAGAGCCCAGTGTCTGCTCAAGTTCCAGCTCAGACCCGTAATGGAGTGGCAAAGGTCAGTCTATCCTTCAATCCCCCCAATTTAGCCGACATTACTCTGCTGCCTTGTCACAGAAAACAATCTGGAATGGACCATTGCACTCGGCCGCTCTCTTCCTCTTTCTTCTTCACCTCGTATTACAAGTGTCAGTGTTTTCTCCTCGCTGTTTTTGTTCTGTAGAGGAAGAATCCCCTGCCAGTGTTGTTGCAGGCAGTGGTGTGTGTCTTCTTCCTCCTCCTCCTCCTCCTCACTCTGTTTCTCATTCGTTAGAGACGCCATCCCCTCCTGCAACACGGAGGAGTTTGTGAAAGAAGCGTCGGAGGTCCCAAACTTTCTGGAGGAAGTGGACAAGTGCAGGGAGATTTGCTCCACTGCCGCTGCTCAGCGTTCTGGTGAGTTCTCCTCTCTAAAAGCACAGAAGGGATGTTTCTTACTTCAAAGCCTGACAAACTGTTTCCTACTTTTTAAGTGGATGGTCTTGGCGGAAAAAAAGAGTTTAATCGTGTATCTTTTTCTATCTGCAGGGCAAAGAGAGAAATCCTTCGAGGTTGTTTTCTTGGGAACAGGATCCGCTCTTCCGATGAAGATCAGAAACGTCAGTGGCACTTTAGTGAATATCAGGTATTGATCACAGGTTATAAAATAATGTACTTTTAATATTTGAACTTGGATTGCACCTGCATATCATCCCATTATGTCCAACCTTTCATCCGGCACACAAACATCCACTTGGCCCTGACTAAAGCTATAACACGCTTCATATGATTATTTCAGAGAAATTGCATAAAATGGTGGTCATTTTAGGTTATGTTACATTACATGTCACTTGTTAGAAGCTTTTATCCAAAGCGACTTACAATAAGTGCATTCGACCAAGAAGATACAAACTTGAAGAAGACAGAATCATATAAGTACATCAGGTTTCATAGAGCCAAAACATTTCAAGTGCTACCTACTCAAGATAAGCAAACCGACGTGTTATGTGCACAGTTTATTATTTCCTTCCCTTGGTGTGAACATTTCCTCAACGAGAACATGACAAAAAATGTCCTTCAACAACCTTTCTTTCCACGACTAAGACGAGATCATGAAAAAGATCAACATTCAATATAGTTATCAAAAGAAAAGACCAAAACAACATTTTAAAATAAACCATATCACTTTATTTTCACAACCTCCCTTCTCTCTTTCTCACAAACACATACCTATTAGCCTGAGTCTCAGTCCTCATTTTTATAATGTATCAGCAGTCAAAACTCAGTAGTTCTTTGTGTCGCTTCTGTTTTTCATTATAATGGTTCTGCATATGTGGATTTTTCAAACCTGTAAAAAAGTGGCCTTTTCACAAAGGAAAGGCGTACACTT